GAAGTTTTGGGATCTATGCAAATAAAATCAAATGATGGGTTTTGACAGACGTCACTGGTGCTGCCTTCATACGACCTACATACAAAAGGACGCAACGCATCATGTGCTGACAGAATATCAAACTATAAAGGGGGTGGAAAAATATCTAAGGCCTGTAAGATTTTTCAAGACACCCCATTTTCCTTGGGGAACAGAACAGTTGGAGATTCAATGCATATGATTGACTCCCATTTTCAGAAACTGTGCTGTGGTGCCAGTTTCAGTCAAACAGTATTTCCGGCTGTCATACATTGATAACCGTCTCATGGAAATCTGCAGACTGGCAGAGCAGGATTACCTACAGGATTGCCAAGAATTTACAGATGTGCCGTGAAACTGCACATCTATGCACCACACTCCTGTCATCCTATGTTCACATGCAGTCTGTGCAACTATCCATTAGGAAAACCAATAGCCGATAGTCATTAGTAGTCCACATTTAAAACCTAAATAAACTGATCCAATAAGATCCAATAATTCATTTTGATGATTTTCTTATTTCTTAACACATTTGTAACTCAGTGGATTTTCCTCTCCAAATCGTTTTAACCTTTGAAAATAACACTCTTCACGTCAGTCACAGTTCAAACTACCAAATCACCACAAACTATGAAATAACAAACATCTCAATGATTTAGAGTAAAGGAGAGGATCTCTTTAGACTGACAGCACTTGATCTCATAAGATAGGCTGTCAGGGTGAATATAAGATTGCAGTGCTGAGTGGGGTAATTACTGGTGGTTTGAAGGAATCAGTGAAAGAGTCTGTGTGTGAGGCTCAGAATATGTCACAGGTTAGCAAAAAGCGCTATCTATTACCATGTTCTCTTAATGAAATGTACTCATCTTGAAGCCAAGCAAAGGATAACTGTTTTGGAAAATATCAAAGAGGAATTGTGAAATTGATGCTTGTATGACAGGGGAGCATCCCTTTGCCTTCCCAGCCCCTTCTGTATAACTCCAGGCATAGGATGACAAAGGGAAGTTCACAGGTCATATGACTGGATGATGACCAGGAAACATAAGTGTTTTTTAAAGCAGAAACATTTCAGAAATCCTGGGGGCACTGGGTTAGCACAAAAAAGGTATTCAATTATGCATTCATGTCATTGTCAACAAACAAAAATGGAGCTGACAAAGATAAGATTTGAATCACGGAACAGCACTTTGTTAAACCTGCTTCCCGACACTATGCTCTCTACTGTTCTAAAATAAACTCTGATGTTTAAGTGTGTAAACTTGTCTCTGCCAAACCTAAAGGGACCTGCAACGAAAAGGCTTCATGTTGAGAGATTAAAAAAGAAAAATATGGTTCCAAAGAGGATTGTTTTTCCTTAGGTCTCAAACAACCCTGCAAGAGACTGATGAGAAACACTTCAAAAGGTATCAGTGTTCTATGTGTGTCTCAGTTTGTTTGTGTCTCTGCATGAGATAAATGGTCAAATCTTTTGTGGAAGTGTAGCAAAGGAAGATCAGAAAATCAGTACCATCTTAAATACACGAAAAGGGCATTAGCAGGCACAAGATGAAGTTGGTATTAATACAAATGCCCTAAGACTCTTACTTGTAAAACTACAGATGGATCAGATCAGATAAAATGTAAAATCACAGATAAATGACCTGCTTACTTAAATGAAGACAAATTGTAGAAAAATGTATAGTGTCACTCTAACCCAGCTATTTCTTGAAATCCACTAAACCTTGTGTCTGTCACTAAATATGAAAATTACACAGAGCAGCAAGATTCACTGATTATAAATGCCTGCTATGTATCAAGTTGTGATTAGTCCTGCCCCTTTTTTTGTGACAGTGTAAGGTCACTGTGGAAATATTAGAACAAAAACCAGTGAATATAAAGGAGATAAAGTTGGAGGTCATCATTGGAGTGGCGTAGTTTTGAAGGGACGACTTCAAAGTTCCAAAGGCTCATCAATTTATGCTAAACAGTTTAAAAATTGACTGACAGTATATATTGTATAACATAATGATATTTTCTGTCTACTTTGAAGCTTTACAAAGGTTGAGCCCAATTAACCTGCTGTTGTGGTGTTGTTGAAATATGTTCAGCTAAAACCATAATCATCCTGTTGTCATTTGCAGCATCATTTAAAAGCACAGCCTCTGGTTTTGGATACACAGGACAAGACCTCTGTCAGACGGACACTGTTGATTCCACTCACGTGTGTTGATCTTCTGTAAGGAGATGTGCTTCTCTAGCTGACGTCGCAGTTTGACTTCAGCACCGTACTTTCCTGTGGTGCCATTGTCTGCCAGGATGAAGTGGGAGTGGAGACTGTTAAGAACTGTGAGCTTGCTCATTGGGTTGGACATGGTCTGGTATGGACGTACCACCTAGTCAGAAGAGAGACAACACAGAAGTTACCCAAACTTACCTGAATCTTTGACCCATATCAACACAAAAAGAAACATTGCTCTTGGGAATTTTCCGCAGGAAGGTTCTTTCACAATGTATGATGAATGATATACATGTATATTGTATGTTGATGCATAATGAGTATCAGGCAGGTAATCATCTATCACTGCCTTCAACTGTCTTCAATGGAGTGAGGTTAGTTGTTGGATCATGCTGAAAGTCTGGAATTAAAAAATATATTTTTCTAAAAGAAAAACCATCAGTAATTGTATACACTCCTGTCAAATTTTCAAATGCAACTTCCTCTGTAACTGTTGTCACACGCAAAGCATGTCCAGAACTCTCAGCAAAGGAGACCAACTGATTTTGTGGCATGGCCACAAGCACAGTGGACGGATACACAGTTTAGGGGTTGTGATATATATACAAATCTAAGGTGCCATGTAAATTAAATACTGGTTGATGTTCATTCAAAAATGGGAGTTTCTTGGAACCATGGTGTAAGGGCTCATTGCCCAACAATGTATCGCTGTTCTTAATAAACTCATTTCAGCCACCCAGATTA